TTTCAAATTTCGCATGCTCGTACGTGAGCGCCGCTGTTTTCGCGTGCGCTTACTCAAACACGGCTCTGGGCAACGGTCAGAAAATTTGCGCAGCTCCCCTGGATGCGGATTTACGTCAAATTTCATGCGTTTGTAGGTGAGAAATGGAAGAGAAGTGAAAGTTATTTTTGCGTCCATTTGGTCAAACGCCGCCGTCGGTTATACTTAGGAAGTTCCACTCCTCTAACTGCTTCAATTCTGGAGTTACAAAAGTGCTTCCGTAAAGTTTTCACGTGTCTGTACATGAGATGCAGAGGGGCTGGAAAGCTCGATTTGTTTTCTTGGGCACAACAGTGGGTGACAAATAATGCTGCAAAGTTACAGCTCCCTACAATTTTTTGTTGAGCTTAAATCTGGTGTTGGCGCCAGTTTAAACTTTTACGTGTCCGTACTTGAGACCTAGGGATGCGTGAAGGCTGAATTTGAAATCTTTGGATTAGATGCGGCAAGAAACATCTCAGTGAGGTTTCAGCCTTCTAGCTTGCGCGCTCCCGAAAACGCTTTCCCGCTAAAAAAATTTTCACGTGCCCATACATGAGAGTCACGCGGAAGTGAACTTTCATTTTGAAGACAGAAGCCCACAAGTATATGTAAATTAAGTTACCAAAATTTCAGCCTTGTGGCTTTTGTGGATCTCGAGATGAAAACTCGTTACAGACGCACACACAGACACGCACACATACATATGCACACACACGCACTGTACACACACACACACACACGCACACACACACACACACACACATACACATACACACACATACACAATCGCTTGACAATATGCGTTTTTGCACTGCGTAAATGCAAAAGGCACATAAAAGATTAATCCTAACTTCAGAAATGCGGGAAAAGATCGCATTTTAGAAAAGAACGCATCTTAACAGGTTTTCAAAAATTTCTCTGTAGTGCCCTATTTCAGTAGGGAAAGCGACCACTGCATGCTGCTGCAATATCCCGGCTGTTGAAAGAGCTGTCTTCTTTGTGTCGGTTCGGACCTAAAAGGCCTCAAAGAGTCGGCGAGAAGGCGACTATTGGTTAGAATTATAAATGCTCGGTCTTTAGAGCCCAAAACGAGACAATTGTGTTCCGCCCGAACGATCAGGATCGAAGATTTCCATAAGCACGAAAATGCTATTGGGAGAGAGAAAAGAAACATGGAAAAAGATGAAACTCAAAGCGTGGGATGTACTCTGTACTGCAGACAGATTGGGCAGAGGTTTTGAAAACTACAAGCGCCGGCGGAAGGCAAAGACCGCCCACAAGAAGTATCGCCTGGAGAAGTGGGAGGAAAATTTGCCGTCGTCTGTTCAGTCGACACGTGGCCGAACCAGATCCCCACCATTGGGGAGAGACAAAAACTGTTTTGCTACACAAAATGGGTGGTAAGGAAGATCTGAGGGACTACGGTATGGTGAACGAATGGAGAAATTAAAGAAAAGTTTCGTTAAACGCTTGCTAAGAATTACAAGTTAAATCAATTCGCTTTTTACAGGCTGATATCAGGCCTGATACTTCTCGTTGGCTCGGTTTGATACGGGAGAGCGATTTGGACACTGAGAGGAGCTAGATTTCGGTAGCATATAATTGATTTAGCGAAATACAGAGTGAGATTGTTAATAAAATGGCGCACTAGGTACAAATAGAGTTGTTACTTAGGCGCACAAACAGGCCACAGACGTCGTTAATTGACTGATAAAGCAGCGGCAAACTGCATCGTTGAATGAGTCATCGGAGAGGGAGCAGTCTTGGCTGGCGTTGTTAGATACAGTTGAAGTAAAAGGCCGTAGAACGGCTGTTGCTGTTGATCTGTCGGTGTAAAGCACCGACCCCGCTGATCCGTCGATAATAGAACGAGTCGTCGATTTTGATAGAAGTCGCTGACCAAGCAATCCACCAGTCGCCGTTAATCTGCGAAGTATCCGTCGATTTTGCGACCCACCGGTAGAGTCGGCCCCCGAGAGTACTTGATAAAAGAGGTTCGCCTACAGTTGATGCCGACGAGTAGGCTGCGCCAGCTGCTGTTCGAATCGAATCAATTGAAACGCGTTGTTGAGTAGACCCTGCCGGTCGCTGCTGGAGCATCCGAGATGGTTGAAGCGCCACCGACTTCGATGGGGAAGAGAAAACGCTCTTAAACAGCTGCGGGAAAGTATCTCTTTCTTTGTTTCCTATTTTCCGTTTAGGACAAGCCTATCGAGCTGAATGTTGTGCTAGCAGCTGTCGCAAATCAAAACTCAGAGTGGAACGCACCAGGCTTGCTGGTGCGATCATGCGTTTTTGCACCAGACGTGAAGTAGTCAGGCCATTAACAACATTAATGGGTGTTGCTTTACACCTACCTTGTGCGCTCAATAGCGTAAATCATCGTAAATTTGCACAAAGGAAAACAGATAATTTCCGTTTGACAGTCATTTCTTGAAAATGACCTAGCCCATCAGTGAGCAGATTTTCAGAAAAACTTTTAAGTTCCCGTGCGTTGGAACCACGCATTCTGGGGACTGAACTTGAAATTTTTAAGTTCTATGTGGGCGGGAGACATCCGCTTAAAATTTTAGCATTCCAGCTTTTCTGGTTACCGAGTTAGCAATTCCCTCGCTGTCTTTCACGTGCCCGTACGCGAGAACAACGAACACCTAGGGGCTGAATTTGAAATCTTTAGCTCATACATGCACATAAAATATCTCTGCAAGGTTTCAGCTTACTGTCTTGACTGGTTCCCGAAATCGCCTTCCCGCTGAAGAATTTGTACACTTTTTTGAGGTGTTCGTGAATGTTAATATTATAATATTAATGTTAATATTATGAATGTTAATATTAACCTGAGTCGCACAGGTGGTGGGCACATACTTTCGAAGTTTCAGCTATCTAGTTTCCCTGATTCTCAAGTTGGAAATAAGTAACAAAAAGTGTGAACACACACACACACCGTCGACCTCTTGCCAGTGTGTTTTTTTCGCATTTGCGTATTTGCAAAAACACAAAAATTAGAAGCTACGGGCGTCAGAGGGTGAGAATGGCTAAACGGATGAGGACCACCGACGAATACAGGCTTCATTATGTGCCAGATTTTGTCATGGTGATCTTTCAACTTATCGAGTGCTTGTTAGCATCAAAATTTTGCACATTTGGCTTTATGTGTTTTGGAGTTATATGCATGAGTCGTTTATGGAATGCCACTGCGGGAAGCAGCCGATTTCAAAGCTCACATTTCCTGATAATCACCTTCTTTTTGTAACGATTCAAAATACTTATACTTCAATTTTCAACCTTTCCGTCTTGAAGTTATGAAATTTGGCCACGTCTTGCATCTGAGAATAAC